CCCCCATCAGTTCTACATGTATAACATAAGAGCTCCCTCAGTTCTACATGTATAACATCAGTGCCCCCATCAGTTCTACATGTATAACATCAGTGCCCCCCTCAGTTCTACATGTATAACATAAGCTCTCCCCTCAGTTCTACACTTATACCATCAGTACCCCTATCAGTTCTACATGTATAACATAAGCGCTCCCCTCAGTTCTACACTTATACCATCAGTACCCCAATCAGTTCTACATGTATAACATAAGAGCTCCCCTCAGTTCTACATGTATACCATCAGTGCCCCTATCAGTTCTACATGTATAACATCAGTGCCCCCCTCAGTTCTATATGTATAACATAAGCGCCCCCCTCAGTTCTACATGTATAACATAAGCTCTCCCCTCAGTTCTACACTTATACCATCAGTACCCCCTCAATTCTGGTAACATAAGCGCTCCCCTCAGTTCTACACTTATACCATCAGTGCCCCTATCAGTTCTACATGTATAACATAAGCGCCCCCCTCAGTTCTACATGTATAACATAAGCGCCCCCCTCAGTTCTACATGTATAACATCAGCGCCCCCCTCAATTCTACACTTATACATCAATTCTACACTTGTAACATCAGTGCCCCCCCCCCCTTCTAATTCTACACATGTTATAGAGATGTCCCCTGCAGCGCCACACTTTAGCGTCTGAGCTCACCTCTAAATATGGAATGTCTTTTGTGGCATATAGGAATGCAAAGATGGCCGCAGGAACAGACTCTAAAGCCGCTACATCAGTTCCTGAAAGAAGAAAATGTTACTTAGTAGGACATGCATTTCATGATTTTAACTAACATGTCTTTTACACAGATTTACTGCACTAATTTTAGAAATTTCTTTTTTTATGTTTTTTTGTTAAGATATTGATTTAGTCTGAACAACTGCTGTAGGTTCACAGGTAAGAAGAACATCCTATTCTTGATATAGTACCTTTTTGTTTATTAAATCTTTGAAACTGTATGTGCATTTTTGTATCTGTTTAAAAAGTTCAGCACAGTTCCACTCCAAGTATGTTCTTTTATGCCAGAATATTTCTCGACCACCTTAACCGTTTCAACAGGATATGTAAAAGCCACCTTCAATTGTAAGTAAAGGGGCATAACTCTATAAATACTGGCAACTACCTTGCATACAGATGAAGCATAAGTGTCAAAAGCGTTATGGACATTTTCACTGGTTTGTTGAATTCACACTTTAACGCTTTCACAAAAAACACAAAAATTACAATATTACAATAATAACCCAGTATACAGTATTTCTCTGATGGATCATGATGTACATGATACTTTATAACAACGAGGATCTAAATCTAATGACAGCGGACCTCCCACTGCAGCTGGTCTTGTGGCGCAGAGAAAAGTGCACTTATCTTTCACCAAGGCAGCCGGGGTTCGATCTCCTGATCGGACGTGAAAAGGTATGGAGTTACCTGCCTGACCATGTGGGTTTTTTCTCCGAGTACTTCTGTTTACTCCAAAAATTATTCGGGTATAATATCTGTTGAGATATGTGTTGAAATATGTCACCTGAGTACTTCTATTAATGTATGAATTATATATCAGCAGTAGGGAATCACCTTTCGTAGAAATGGTCTAACGTCACGCCAACTGTCGATGACCACAGAGAACTGACACAGAGTTTGGGTTGATGTTCCTTTTATACATAGTACGATATTTAACTGAAGATTCTGATAGTACTGAAGAAGATAAACATCTACATAGAGAACATGGTTTACTTTAGTTAACCTTACCCAATTCTTCATTAATTTCCTGTGGTGATGGTGGGGCCTCCTGTTTTAAAAACGTTTTGATCTTTTCTAATTTATCACAGTATGGGTGTTCAGAGGCAGTACTCCTGCAGAAGACAAGAATCAGAATAAGCAGCGAGTTCATTATGCCAAAAAAGAAACATTTTAAAAGGAACTAATCAGACATATTTAAAAGACCTGATTTCAAATAAATCTATTTTCTTACATGTAAATGTTATCATTGAAATGTCAATAAAATTCAAATAAAACAGTGAGAAACTCTCCATTTCTCAATGTTCCATATCAATACTGGCGTGTAGAATTCTGGAAAAAATCAATTATAAGCTTCTGTTTATCTTCCATTGCAGACTCACTTTTAAATAACCACTCAATGAATATCCGACAAAATTTCATAAGACAAATATTTTCCATGCCTGTAAAATTAAATCAGAAATACACAACACAACAATATTGACACATTTGAATAAACTTCCCTTCTTACAAGTACAAAGTCATGTGTCCAAACAACGTGTTCTTTTTACAATATCAATGTACACCAAAAGAAGTTGTTTGCATTTTTAACCCCTTTGACCTTTAAAGTAGGCCAAGTCATTTTTCATTCTTTAACTTTGTTGTGCTCAATCCCAAGAAGCTACCAGCCAAATATTAAAGATTTTTTACCTTTCAGTTCTTCAAAAGAAGTCATTTGGAGTGTTTGACACATTTGACCCCTGTTACCTTGAAAGTAGGTCAAGGTCATTTTCCTTCTCAAACTTTGTTGGGCTCTTACCAACAAAGCTTTCAGCCAAACATCATGACTCAGGGCCTGTACATTCTTCAGAAGAAGTTGTTTAAAGGAAAAGTTGATAGATGCCGGACGGATGGAGGGACAACAGATGCTGCGCCATGGTATAAGCTCACTAGCCCTTCGGGCAGGTGAGCTAATATTCATAAAGCACAAATGTAAATGAGGTCGTTGTTTTTTCAATGCCTCCACTAAGAGTCAAACCCAGGACCTCTTGTTTATTAGTCTTACACTAAATTCTCTGTAGCCGAATGGATGGGAAGCGACAAGTATTTTACCAGTGTGACAAAAAATTTACATCTGTTTGAGTAACTTGATATACATATATGATTTAGTTTGATTACATTCTGACAACAATGTCTTTTTAAATGAGCACCTTTTTCCTGTGATATTGCATTGGGATATGTATCAATATACATTCCCTCTGAATTGCACTACATTGGGAAAAGTTTATATTATAATATATTGTGATATACTTTAGTGTAATGGTTTACCATAGGTAATCAGTTTCAAATCATAATCAATAATTTGACTGTAATCAGAAGTAGTAAACCAAATGACGATCATTTGCATAATATGTTTAAAATTGTATGGGACTGAAATACCTTGATATAGTAAGAACACGAAATTGGGATCCTGTTATCCTTATGGTAGAAAAAAGATTTCAAAGGTTTTACCTCTATTTCCCCCATTTGGCTCTGCCCCTCTGCCCTGGAGGCAACACCCACCATTTATACAAAATTAAGTGCCCTTGGCCAAAGGATACTCCAGACCAAACTGGGATGAAATACCTTAATTCCAATGATAAAAGAAGGATTTTGAAGGTTTTACCTCTATTTACCCTATTGGGCCCAACCCCTGTTCAACCAGGGGGAGGCAACATCAACCGTTTATACAAAATTGAGTGCCCTTGGCCCAAGGATGCCTCAGACTTAATAAAGATAAATTACCTTTTTCCCTACACTAGAAGAAGTATTTTAAATATTTTACCTATATTTGCCCTATTGGGCCCCACTCATATGCCTCGGGG